TGCACCCACTGGTGCAGACGGGCTGCACGAGGATAAAATTGTCATTACAACGAATGAAACATAATAAAAGTTCAACGTATTGCATTAAATAAGAATAAAAGGAAAGAATGCAAAAATTGCACTTTGGAGGGATAGAAGAAGAACATGGATAAATAGCTTCGAGCACTCCCATCTCCCGTTGATTTTGAGATTCCATTTCTTTGCTTTCTTTCCCAGCAATCACTTGTCATGAACTATCTACTAAAAACTGTAGAAGATTACGTTAGATTACGTTGATTGATTATCTCCTAATTAGTTGATTCGATAATATCTCTTGTAATTATTTCCTTCCATATTTGTTTCCTAGACTTTAGGAAACAAGTTGTAAAGATATCATTAAAAGGGCCATGTACTCGTATAGACAAAATACAAGACACAGAAAATTATGTTCTGAAATGCATTATGGTATCAGAGCTTACTGCATAAATATAAAAAACTTCTTCAGTTTGAATCAGACAATATGTCTTCCGAAGCAACCGAATCCTCCACCAAATCAACCATTGCACCATCCTCTCCTATTGTTCATGTTCAATCTGAAAATTTTGGCTTCAACACTGCCATAACCCTTACCGAAACCAACTATGACTCTTGGTCTCAAATCATTGAAATGCATATTGCTGGACGTGAGAAACTTGATTATATTATTGGGGACTCTCCTCAACCTGAATCAAATGATCCTTCTTACTCCAAGTAGTATGCCGAAAACCAAAAAGTTAAAGCATTCTATGATGGATCTGATGAAACACAAATCTTTGCCCTTAACCAACGTGCATTCTCAATTCGACAATCAGGTCAATCTCTTCCAACTTATTATGGCGAACTTGTTGGAATATTCCACGAACTTGATCACCGTGACAAAGTCAAGATGAAGGATCCAGATGATATCATTATGTATCAAGCAGCCATTGAAAAATTGAGAATCCACATTTTTTTGAATGGCCTTGATGTTGATTTTGAACAAGTGCGAGGAGAAATCCTTCGTATGGATCCAAGTTTGGATCTTAAATGCACATATGCATATGTTTGCCGTGAAGCAAATCGTAAGACTCTTTTAACTGGTGATCCGACTACTTTTGAACCTGTGGCTATGATAGCCCGACGGAATAACTTATCTGCTCGACCAACCAATATGAGTATTGTACCATCTTCTTCAACAACATCTCGTAGCTTTGATATTGGAGGAAAGCAATCTGGTTCAACAAGACATT